TTAATGTCAATGTCAATGAAATCGAATACGTGTAATTGACCTGGAACGCGAAGCGGAACATTGTTGACATGTGTATATTAAAATTTCTCGCAAACGAGAGTCATCTCACTTTTCACTGTTTAAACTGCTATTTTAACCGTCAGTCTACAAAAGTAATAATAAAAATTTCTTAAAAATGCATTCTATTTTCGACGTCAAGCGACAATTTCACCGTAAAATACAGGAAGTATGACATTCAGTTAGTGTCTCGTCAACGTGAAGTTGTAGAAAAAAACATTTCAACGGTTTCTCTGCTGAATAATAATATTATGAGTGTCTTGTAAAAATACGACAGCTGCAAACCGCACGCGAGAAGACGCGTAATCATGCAAAACGCAGATATTAGCCCGCAGGGCTGTGCCGTTATATAAAGAACCAGTACACACGTCGATCCACTTGAACATGATATGTAAGTCGTTATGTGTGTGAAATGGAAACTGCAGTAGGTCGTACTTTCTACGAGAGGACGAGAAGACCCGTCTCACAACGGGCCGACGACGGCACAGAAGGCACACGGGAGAAAGGAAGATCGAACAATGCCCCTCTTAATTACGGCCACCTTAATTATTCGCGTCTTTCTCGCGCGCACAATAAAAGCAACAAACAATGAATTTGAGAGCATGCTGTGCACAGTATTAAGTATATCGGCAACATTAAAAGCGGCAATAATAGAATCAATAAGTAGGAATTTATGGTATATGTTGGAGAAAAAAGTAAAATCTAGATCATTAAGTTTATTATACCACAAGCTGTGATCGTAAAAAGTTATTGACTCAAAATTCTTTGAAAATGTCTTCTAAATTGTTTATTGTTAAAATTTGAGAACTAACTATATTGTCAATTATGTGAAAGTATATAAATGATATATAATTATAGATCCAGGCTTCTCTCAAGGAAAGTCTGTCTCAAACTGATCGTGCCTCATATAAATGACATATAATTATAATATAATTGATCACAAATTATAATCACTATGTAATGATTTTTTAATAATCTTTTAATGCGTTCTTTGTTGTCTCTAAACAAAGGAAGAGAAATGAGAAGCTGAAGGAATACTATCGAAAAGATCATTTATCTAAAAAATATTGTACGTTTTAAAGTATATGTTGATCTATTGAATTTAAATTGAATAGTCGCAAGAGTGAATATGACCTCTCCAGTATATAACTTTTACTAAATCGAAGGTAATCTTCTTATCGATTTTCCGCTTGGTTCCTAAGCGCCCTGGAGTATAAATCTACGATAATTTATAAATCTTGTGACACACACCGAATTGCCGTCAATTGCGTAGATTCGATTTGCTTTCGCTTTTATCTTGCTGACGTGCAGCACGTTATCCAAATGGAATATCTTATGTAGAATGGAAATGCAAAATGTGATTCGCAAAGCAATTAACCAGGGTAATTTATGAAAACTGTCAACGATTTCATACTCTCATACCTTTCGTCATACTTTCTCTGTAATATACGAAAGATTGCGTTCACTGCCGTTATTATCAAATTTTTATTTCCATGTCTTTGATAGTTCTATATATTTTTAAGTTTACTGAAAGTTATATTCATTCACAAAAAGCGAATGTTTCTTTATCACAGCTTAGAATACCTCGTGTAAATTTCTTGCTACATCATCAAAAAATTATTAGAAGAGAACAATAGACTGTCGTAACTGAACTTCAGAAACATGTTGTCGTTAATTCGTTTTGCTACTGATTAAATGCCACTGGAAATATCACGGTATTATATAATTTTGTATTAAAGCGCTCATGATGCCTAAGAACGTGCGCGAAAATTCTATATTGCATAAGATATTGCACCATTACACAGAGTAAATAAAGAGCAATGACCGCAGGAATGCATTTTAATGTGCAAGGAACTTTACAGCGTAAATTAGTCGTTTTAATAGAAAAAATATATATATAAACAGACAATAATTAGCTTTATAAATAGATTATTTGTATCTTTAAGAAACTTTAGTGTTTTACTTTTTTCTGAAAAAAAAAATGCGTGATATATTCGTGTAAATATTTGATTCTAGGGTCGCATTGTGAACGATCCGCGACCTCGTCTCTCGGCTTCTCAGCAAGCCCAGATACTGAGCGATGTGCAACAGCACCAGCAACAGTACCGGCAACGTCCCATTCAAGATTTCAAGAATCCGCGGGTTTCCTCGTTCGAGCAAGCACAATCGAGCACGCCGTACTCCTCCCTGGCCAAGTACAAAGTTGATCGAGCGAAACAACAGTTGCAACAGTTGCAGCAGCAGCAACAACAAGTGCAACAGCTTCTGCAACAACAACAACAGAAGATTGCCCAGCAACTCGGTACTTCGAACTTCGTGAACGGTGGCAGCGGCGGTGGCAGCGGCGGCGTGCAAACGCCACAATACCAGCAACGGCAGCAATACCAGCAACAACAATACAATCAGTACAATCAGAATGGCTTCCAAAATCTTCAACAGGACTTGTCGCAACCGCTGTTCAGCGATCAGCAGACGGTACAGTTACAGGAATATCTGGAGAAGCAGCGCGAGCTGGAGCTGCTCCAGAAGCAACGGCAGCAGCTGCTGTACGAGCAACAGGAATTGCGCAGGCAGCAGGAACTGCTGCGACTTCAGCAACTCCAGAGGCTCACTTCCACTACGCCACTTCCACCTACCGCGACATCGATCCCGATCACCGTTAGCACCACTTCCTCACCGTTGTTGCTATCTTCGCCGTCGGCGCGACGTATCACGCCGTCGGAAGCGGAGCTTTTCCTTAAAGCAATTGCTAGCCATCAGAAGAAGTATACGACGACAGCAGCAAGCACGACTACAACGACCACTACCACGCAACCACCTCCGCCATCCAGACGTCTGATTACCTCTAATGCTCATCAGGAGACAGATATACCGGAGAACTTGCTCAGCCTGCTTCAGGGTCAAGAGAGTCAATTGTTGCAGCAAGGTAAACCGAAGCCGCAGATCAAGGTGATCTATCAGACCGATAAACCCAGCACGACGAGACAGACTTCCAGCGGCAGAAGCAGGAACTCTCCACAGTCTGAGCGGGAATTGTTGCTGAAGCAACTCAAACTCGCTCTATCTCAGTCCGGCGATGACGATGACGTTGTCAGGAATGTCACTACCAGGGATCTGATACTACCGAACGGCAAGAAGATTCAGGTTATTCACGCGCCGAACGGTTTATCATCCATCGCATCGAGTTCCACTATTCAGACGTCAGCTATACCGTCCTCGACGACCACCATCAAGCCTCCGAAGGCGCTCTTCGAGGAGCTGACAAAGGGCGGCGTACTGCCACCGGGTGCCGATTTCGAGATCATCCGGCAGAAGAGCGACGGCAGGCTCGAGGAGATCGGCAAGACGCCGATAATCCAGAATCTACCGGCGAAGAAAGTCACGTTCGTTTTGTTGGAGGAACAGCCGGACGGCAGTTACAAGGTGCAGGGTATCAAGGGTAACGCCAACGACAAGGAGAGTGGCACCGACGTCGAGTCCATCGTCGAGAAGATCAAGAAGGGCGAGCTGAAGTTGCCGCCCAGCTCGCTCGGACCGACCACGCAATCGTCTACGCTAGAACATCTCGAGTCCAGCATCGATCCGAATCTGATAGTGTCCACTGGTACGTCCAGAACGCCGATATCATCTCATCACTCCGTCAGCACGAAGGCGGCGACCTTCAGACCCACCACCGTCAGATCTACCTCGACCAGATACGAAAGGTGATTATCGCGATGATTCGCATTTATATAATTCATTCCAAACAATTTTTTGGATCTAGTAAAAGATTCTGAACGGCAAAATAAAATTTTCAGCAAGTCGACGACGGAATACATCCCCTACGTCACGGTATCGCCAAACTCGGTGTCTACCACTGACAAATACGTGACCTCGGCGTCCAGCGTCACGGGCCACGTATATAACTCCCTGAACACCAGCCCGACGAAGACAACCCTGTCGGATCACATCCCGCGGGTGACCACCAAGTACTCGTCCACCAGGAGCCAGTTCATCCCAACGATGGCGCCGGTGAACGAGATCGTAACGACGGCGACGACTCCGGCGACTTACTCGCATCATACGCCGAACTATGTCTATTTCTCCAAGTATCCATCCACGGAGACCTCGTCGACCTCAGCGGAGGAGGTGAAAACTCAAGGTTCGCAGGAGAATCTAGCCACGTTATTGAGAAAGGAAGGCCTCTTCGCTATGGCAAAATACCTGAGGCAGTCGGGACTGGATAATGTGCTGAACGAAACCGGTGAGTTGGATGTCAGTCAAACTTGATAATTTACTGTGTAAAATTAATTAATGGTATTTATTAATGATAAAAGAGTAGACTCTTAGTGATAGAAGAGAAGACTTTAAATAGTTTCTCATTTTATGAACAAAAATACGAATTTCGGTAACTTTCAAACTGTCTCACAATTTATCAAAAATATTAATAGAATAGAATTTATATGTGTAATATTAACAGAGACTTAATGTAAGTGTACTATCGAACGTCACGATTTTAAGCAAGAAATTCGCGGTTACTGCAATTATTCTGGTGTTAATGATTTGACAAACGGTTCGTACAATATATTCCGCTTTATTAATATTAACATAATCGCGGAAAAGCATGATTTATAAAGCAGAAATAGCGAAAAATCATCAATTAGTCATAAGTGACGATGCACTACGCGACAATAAGCGAGCTTTACGAAGAGTATTTCGTGTGAAGACGTTAAATACTACAATAAACGAATTAATTCTCTGCGCAACAGTGCAAGGACCGCCGCGGTCTTATTCAACAGTATCGCAAGGCGGGACACAACTTGCGTCAATGTTGTCGTGGACCAAACGGTTGTACAAATAATCCCCGTTGATGGCGAGGTAGACCGTGCCTCTTTGCACAATCCACCACCATTTGTACCTCGCGTTTCGCTTTTAGTCGTGCAACATTCGTCGGAAAAATTGTTCTCACGACTCGTTGCTCGTTTCGACACAGGCACCTCTCCGTCTTCTACGAGAACAAAGAGACGCGTACCTCATTACGCGGGCTCTCACGAAGAAGACACGCGATTTCATTAGTCGTTATAATTATCGGCGGGACGACTCGCTTAGCCCATTGTCTCTTCGGGCCCTTTATCTATGTATATATACCTTCTTTCATCGAGAGAAAGATCGAGAAACGGGCTTACCTCGTAAGCTAAACGCATGAAAGTACGTCAGAGAATTACGGCAACGTTACATGAGATAAGTTACGTAATAACTTCCCTACGCGATAGTAAATTTTTTCATTTCATTTCTGAAGAATCCAGTTCAAGTTGAACTGGATTCTCTTTGCAGCGCATTAATAACGTGGCGTACGTCGATCCTTTCACGCGTTCCCTCGGCTATAAACAATTTTCGCTGAATAATCCGATAAACGCCGGTGCCTCGACTCGACATCTGCCGCCGCGCCGTGTCTCGTCAATTCCCGAGAAGAGAGTCTCGTCGTGAGGAAAATGTTGACGCTCTTTTCACGTACCGACGATTTTATTCGACCGCGTTCGCACGCTCGTTAGAAAGAAAATAATAAGCCAGCTGCGTGTTTTCTCGCGTGCGAGAAACAGCGATATTTCCTATAACAACGATCCCCCGCCGCGGTAACAGTTCCGTTTCTGTCGATCGCGAATGCAATCATCAATCGGGACATTGTGTAACTTCGTCACGTTCTCCAACGATATGTTTTTCCTTCTACGAGGATCATAGATGAACTCAACCGCGCGTGTACTACGCCCGGAATGGAAGAGAATGGTCTGGCGAATATATGAAACGCAATTATGGATACCAATCGCAAAAACTGCGCGAAACGTATATACACGGCAATGATTGTGTAGCTCTTGACGTTACAAATTAATGCAATGAGGCGATGTGAAAGGTTTCTTTCTAATCTCTAACAATTTTAATAATTGAACCTTGAATCGAATCTCCGCGAGGGATACGATTCCGTCATCTATTCCCTCTTCTTCGAAGTTTAGTTTGTCGAAAGTCTCTCTCATTTTCGATCGTCAATTAAATTGAACGCGTCTGGACATTCGACCAGTTTGAGGAAAGACCCCGATTCCAAATTGAAGCAAAGATTTCTGTAACAATTATGCTGTTCGATAGTTTCGTGACACTTCCCTGTATTGTTTTGCGATATTATACTTCAGGTCCGTACACCATATTCGTCCCTACGGACAAAGCCTTCAGGACGTTGATGGTGCAGCTGGGAGGGCCAGAGAAAGCTGAGCAGAAGTTCCACGACAATCCAAGACTTCTAAGTGGGGTACGTATCGGTGCCAAAAGCATCATTAATAATTTATCTACCTAACGGTAAATTTCACTGACACCAGTTAGCCAATCGTAATTAATTTGATTCGCCGCTTTTCCCGAGAGGAGAGGACTCAATTAAACTTAATCTTGAAATTAACTGAGCTTAGTGAAAGAAAATGTTCTACAGTAAAAATCGTTAGTGTCTAGAATATATACTGAGAATTCTTTGCGACAGCTTCTTCTTCACCACGTCATACCAGGAGCCTTCAGGATCGATTCCCTGCAGGACGAGATGACCGGCGTCAGTCTCGCAGGAACGCAATTGCGGGTGAACGAGTACACGATGCAGGATCACGAATGGAACGACGTGAAAGTAATTTTATATTTTAGAATTTTGTCCAATTCCTATGAGACCCTTTCTCGCCTTTTTATTTTACGTTTCTTTATTTTTAATTAAGGTTCAATTCCTTTTTTTTAGTTATTAAGCTTTTCTTTCGTTTCGTAGAAAATCGTTCGTTTATCTGTATAAATTATTAATAGCTTTGTGAGTCAATGCAACATTATTTTTACATACGTGATTGGTTCATGTGTGTTCGTGCGTGATCCAGTTTATTGACCTTCGCGAATATAGAAATCTTCCATTCACTCGGTGAACATGCATGAAATTGCGACAGCTCCGTCATCCGCTTCTCACGAAAAAATCCAGACAACGCGTGTGTCTAAAAGACGGCTCATCTTTTTTAAAATTTTATCAAAAGACGTATTAAAAATGTTATACTACAGATATCTTTCTAATAATTCCATAAGACTTCAAAATTTTTTTATTTCTCTGTCAGACCATTTCAAGACGTCATAATGTTCTCTGAGAGACAGATACGCCTACTTAGTATATATCAAACATTCAGAGCAGATCCGATGAAAACGATTTCATATCAGTGCAATCGTTTCCCTTCATTTGTAATTTTGCATTGTTTGCAAATAGGTAACGGCGATAAACGGGGCGCGAGTCGCGCCCAACAAACGGGACATCGAGATTCCTCAAGGTATCGCCCACGCCGTCGACAGGGTCATGTTCCCGCTTCCGGTCGGAGATTTGGTGCAAACTCTGCAAGCCGATCGTGAGAGGAGGTTCACCACATTCCTCAGAATGCTGCACGTGTCGGGCTTGGAGGACACGCTCACAGGTAAATTGAAAATCCGACCAAAAAAAAAAATGAATTTAAAAGAACTCCGTTTGTGCAATATGCCGCCTCTCCTGTACGTCTGACTTGCAAAATCGATGAATCATCCTGAATCCTCCGTCGTTTAGTGTAACGAAAGCTGCCTTTCTAGGACCGAAGACGTTCACCATCTTCGCACCAACCGATTCCGCTTTCACCGATGCGTCCACGAAGAACGGCGCTCCAATTTGGACCGATGAGGACGGGCCGGAAGCGGCGAAGGCGATAATCTCGCGGCACGTGATTCCCACGACTCTTTACACGGCCGGCATGAGATATTACATTCAAAAGGACACCCTTCGTCCACAATCACCGGTTCATATCCACAAAAACGGCGGTAAGTAATTCAAATGACGTAAGACTCGTGTTTTAATAGCTGATCCTTCATGATGCATCGCATTATTAGAAAAATATAAATCAAGAAATAGATAATCTCTCAGATGATTCGACATACATTGTTGTTTCAGGACGCGTACGAGTGAACGAGGCACACGTTGTGACGCATAATGTGCCAGCGACGAACGGTGTGTTACATGCTATCGACGGTGTTCTATAAAACGACAGTTCGTAATGAATGCAAATTGACGATTAAGATGCACAGATTGCAATCATGCAGGTGATAATCGTATAATAATTCGTCACATTAAACGCAATTGTATCTATTGTATAATTTCTCGAAAAGTTGATGAGCTCGACATATCAAGTGAATGTAAATTGCTTGCGTGAGTGCGGTGAAACGTGTGGCAATTAAATCGAGTTATATTAAAGTGATTAGTAAATGCTCGCCGCATCGCGATTGGGTTCAGTCACCGAAAAATTGACATGCCATAGGTCGCGAAATCGTAGGAAAAAGTAACGAGACCATTTTTAACGTACATGTGTATACATATTAATTTATATAAGATAAGCAACGTCAGAGATTCTCGTGTACTCGTGTCAGGCGCACAAGAGTACGGGATATTAATCGCTATTGTATAGAATGGTAACGCAATACCATGTTTAGTTCATAACTCATATCTTTTTATAAATAAATGTACAGAATGTATTTCTATGATTATATTTACAAGAATGTTCCCCAATATCCCTAAACGGTAGTTATTAATAAAACAAAATTTACATACTTATTTAATAAATAACCCTAATTACTAGAATTTAAAATCGCTCCAATAGCTGATTTCCATATGCAATACTAGAAATGATTTTTTTACAGCAAATAACCAATGATCGATAGCTATTTGGATTTGAGTAATCAATTTCTTCAGAAAGTAGTCCTAAAAATTTGTTTTGTACTTCTTAATTTCTACCATTAGATGATGGATGTTCGTAAGTTGCGTGCGCGCGTTTGGCGGCAGAATCTTGTGTAGGCGATTGTAATATGCTACCAATTGCGCCATTGCGCCTTGCACCAGAGTGCTGCCGAGCACCAGGCTGGGAAACGATTGTAACACCTCACGATTTATCTCTTCTAACGCTCGTTTCCAATTGTTCGTGAAAGATTGCACTAGGGCCAATGCTTTGCCCTCCTGCCGTTTCAAATCATCAGCTTGGCCCTTCTCGATTAGAGCCTCCGATTCCTTCACCAATTGGATTATATTGCCGAAATGCGGGCTCAAGACTTCTTCGACAAATTCGGCAGAACGCGAGTTTAATAGCTCCCGGAAACTCTCCGCTTCTTTCGAGGTCTCTCGCGTTCTTTCCTGTAAACAAATGTAGCATCTTAATTCTTTCTTAATACATTAATTTTGATAGACTTTTCCATGTCAAGTAAAATCTACTTACTATTAATACCCTGAGTATCAGATCATAATTATTGATAAGAAATACTAATTGCTGCGTCCGGGTTGGAAAAATAGATGCCATTCTTAGCAGGAAGCATTGTACAGTTTCTCTCAATTCTGCCAATAACTGAGTCGTCCCCTCGCATGGAAATGTCTCGACTACACTTACAATTGCTGCGCTAAACTCCGCGTATCTTCTGGTAATCTAAAAATTCATGATTGTATAAGAAATTAACAATATTACATACTGCAATGTTATATGGTAATCAAATTCCACTATAAACAATCCTTTGCATACTGCTTTAGATACTTACATAATGTGGACCAGTTTCTTTGTTGAATTTTGATGGATCACAGTCTTTGACACTGTTTATGTTTAATTGAAACACCAATGTAAATCTAAAAAGCAGATATAATTTTGCAAATTGTAATGATACGAAATACTAAGACGTGAATATTATTGCAATTATTTTTAAGCATAATTAAGTACCTAGGCCAAATTGTGGCTGTTAAGGTCTCCCAGTATTTATCCAATGCTGGTACAGCTCTTTTGTGACATATTAACTGATAATGCTTCACTAAATTCAGGCAGAGAAACAGAGCAATTGTATCGTAACAATCCTCAACAAACGATTGCAAATTCTTTATCATGAGATTTAACGTTTTTCCCATGACCTGTCAAAAGGAAAGAATATTTTAGTACACATTTACTACTTAATATACTTACTTAATATATTAAATCAATTATTAAATGTTAATCTCTTACCTGATTGAAAATATCTAGTGCCTGTGCATTATGGACCTTGAAAAATTCTATCAGGAACAGATATTCTCTGCAAGCATGATCACAAATACCATACTGTTCACTTCTGAATAGAGCTTCATAATGATACTGTAAGATTACAATATTAATTTAGAAAACATGCTTTCAAGATCACGCAAGTTAGAGTCATATATGTATCGTTGGTACTTACTCGTGTTTTATTAGAGGCAGTGTGTGGGATAATTATAGGTGCTTCCAATAGAGAAGACAAAACCTGACCTCTTGTATCTATAGAAAAGACGGTACCTTTGTGCTTTAACGTTGTCTTATGAAATATACCTTTGCCTGCAGTGTCTTCGACTCCCATTAAATCGTCCTTTGACGTTTTCTCTTCAAACTTGCGAAAATAATTGTAACTTGATATTTCAACTTAGTTAAATAATACTAATTTATCTGTTGCAGCTTTACCTGCAATTTCATCAATCTCGACGAATAAGTTTTGAAATACGAGTACTGTATCTTGCTCATAGTATCAATGTATTCTCCACAGATTTCCTCAGCCACATTTCTCTCATTTGACAAGATAAACTCAAAGAAGAATTTGTACTTTAGCATATTGTTCTGCGGCACTTGAAAATTTCCCATCGGTTTCCTGAATTTATAAATTTGCTCTAGTAAATATGTCCTAATCTTTGCCATCGCCTTCACCTTCAACTTCTCTAATATATCCTTCACGTCTAAACAAGACTTGGCCTCCTTGAAACTTTGTTCCTTCACAAAGTTGATTTTATGATTCAGAGTTTGTAGCTGAATCAAAAATTCCTTTTCAGTCACTGGACATTCCATAATACAGCTGCAAGAAAATTAATTTAGATTTAACGAGTTTATCTCCCTAACATTCTTTTGTAAAACATTGACAAATGCCTCTTACGCTATTAGAGCATCAGACACCGTCATGTCCTCAATAAACTGACTAAGCGGGCCTCGTATTATTTGTCTGTTGGATAGCTGCTGACTCATGGCAACAGACTTGCGTTGCAAGTAAACTATTTCCGAACTAATACTTCCCAAAACTGTCTGAAAGTTCATCAGCATCGACTCCATTTTCTGTAAAAGGTAATAATACTGAAGTCTGTACGTGAATGTTTCCTTTTGCTCAATTAGCAGTATCATTTTGCAAAGATAAGTTATTGAAATAGATTATGCAAACGATACATTTAAGGCACTTGCTGACGAGATACTATTAAAATCCAACAGCCCTAAGTAAATTTTTATGACTATCAATAGAGTAGGGAGAGTTTGCGGACCCAGAAGTAATTAAAGAATAAGATATCCTTGACTATTAATATAAATTGTTCAACATAAATATCTGAACAATTAGCTTATATATTAAATTTATTATTTATTATATAAATGCTTCATAAACAAGAATATATATTTATAATGTAACAATATCATATGTATTGCTGCAGAAACAAATTTTTTTCTATAATTATCATTTGCATAAATGACTAAATGATAGCAGTAAACCCCAATTTAAATCAAATGACCAAATAACAGCGATAAAATTATAGTTTTAAACAAAAATCGAATACTATTGAATCGTGAACATACATATATGTTTATGAAATATCAGAATAATAATAAATGATAAAATTAATATTACGAGTTGATCATCTAAATTTTAAGTCATGAACTTAAGAAGTTATTAATAGCATCTTGTCGGCGACAAGCTATTATTCTGCATCTCATTTATCGCTATCAATGCAGATTAACTTTAATCTATGTTTTAATTTATTCTTTATCTTTTTTATAATTCTTAGAACTAAGAAAGATTTAAAAAAATTAAAGCAAGATTAAAGTTAAGCTACATTGGTAGAAGTGGACATAAATCATCCGTCGACGTGTCGAGCAAGACCTGGTGCGTCGACAGCGAATCCTAACCTCCAAGATATTGTCGCAGGCGGCAATCTGATTGTGCAACTTGGCTATATTCTCGCTTTCCTTGATGTAATCTTGAATCGACTTGTTCTCGACCTCCTTGAGCTCCTTCTCGATCTGTCTGGAATACTGGCGTAGGTCGGTGCCAGTTTTGAGGACCTCCTGAACGACATCGTCGCCGAGGTCCTGCGGCAGTTGCTCCTCGTTGCTGTCAAAGATATCTGTATCGGCCATCCTTCCATACAATCGCGACACAACTAAAATGCAACGCGAATTCAATACAATTACGCGAATCAGGCGACAATAACCTGGATCGCCTCTTCGAATGTCTTCGACAGAGTTCCTGAGAGTTCCCCTCAATCGTCGCGCATCGTGGACGCGCCTAACCTAACCCCATCTAACCCTAACCTCAAAGTGCCGAGTTGTCAATGTTGTCATATTGTTGTCAACAGTTGTCAACACGCTCCGATTTCCAGCACACCTGTCAAATCGAACGGCCAATCGTGCCAATGGCATGGTCGTCGTCGCGCAGCTCGTCCAATGAACGACGGGGACGATCCACGTGACTCACGTGACCCACGTGCGCACGACGATCTCTCATTTCGGCTCATCTTGGCCTAACGGGGCCCTAACCCAAATTCTCGCCTCGTCGCGCATTCTCGCCAATCTAACGCTAACGGACCGTGTATTTATCTTTTTTTTCCCTTCCCTTCAATGTGACCCGAGCCACCCGAGGTAACAGCAGGCGGTGCAAGTGCGGTAAAAGTCGGTGGTTCCCAGTTGATCCATGCGGAGATCGTTTTTAACTCTTGACACACACGTAGAAAGTACAAGCCTTATCTGTGATCTGTTCTTTTGTAATCTGTATCTTTCTTTCCGATTGTGTTCCGCGTTAGATATACGACTAATGATTCTTTTATCGTCGCTGCCCCGATAGCTCGTTCTGTCGCCGATCATGCCCAAGTGCTTGAGAGTTGACAAATCCGTGAGGAAAGCCGAGGACGGATCTCACCGCAGGCGTCACGGTAACACGTGTAGGGATGAACGAAAACGCTGCGTGCAGAGAACGATTTTGAACTCCTTGACGAGCGAAGTGTTTATCACTCGTTACGACGAATTGACGGAACTCAGCGGGCAGCTCGCGGCTAATCTCAAGATCTCCTCGAGTCTCCAGTCCAAAAGGAGGAACACGAAATCCGACGTAGCAGATAATATCCAGGGACAAGTCGCATCCAAATCCTCAGAAGATGCTGCGCAAGATAATACGACGCATCCCTCACAGCGTGCGAGCACGTCTCAGGTCTTCTGGGACGTTTTCAACAGATTGGAAGCGAAGCACAGCACTGCGGGGGAATGTAACGATTCTGCGAAAGAAGAAAGAAAACACGACAGGACGACGATGGTGTCAGCTAACGACAATTGCAGGACTAAAAATATAGTTACGAATCAGGTATAACGCAAATCTTTCTTATTCTTGTTTATGTAAATGTTCCGTAGGAACTCCCATTATTTCTGCATCTGGTAATAATTTTAAGAAAACTCTATTATATTCTCCATTGTTCTGTCATTCATTAATAATAACCGTTTTTCCAGGCTGATACTCTCGATAACAAAGGAAAATGCTCGAGATTGACAAGGGCTAATACACGAAATAAAACAGGAACGCATGCGGAAAACAAATCAAGCGCAGGGAAAGAAAACTGTGGTGAAAAAATAATAAAGAGCAATCCGAAGAAGAAAAAGAATACAGTAGTAGAGAAACCAATCAGGAAGATATTTACAGATCACATACCCGTGCCGAGAATGTTGAATATTTTAAGAAAGCAACCGTTCGATGGTGTACAATATGTAACAGGAAATCTCCGCGTGAATCCTTCTTTTTACAAATATGCTTATTTACGTTTGCATAACGAAGAACGTGACCTGCTGATCGTTGGTATATCAAATAGAAATCGTGCTTTTGATGGGGATCTGGTTGTGGCATGCGTAAACCCTGAAAAATTCTGGCACGAGTGTCCCGACGGAGAAATACAAAAGACTGGTAAAATTGTTTGCATATTAGAGAAAGTGCATTCGAGACAAGCGGTTGGATACTTAAAGAAGAAAGAAAATTCGCTCCTGATGTTTCACCCAAGAGATCAGAGAGTACCGCTGGTTGACATACTTCCTGAATCTGTGCCGTCTTTATATCACGATCAACCAGAACTTTACGAGAATACAATGTTTTTTGTTAATATCGATTTTTGGGACCAGATACATGCATCAGGGTAGGTCTGCGTTACACATATCTAACGCGTAGAATAATATCACAATTTTAAAGATATATATTCATACGTTTATATTGACTTTTTCCTGTCTTCTGTTGTCTCTGTGTCCTTGTAAACATACATAAAATATATTTCTATACTGTATTTACAGGCGAGTTCTTTCGATCGTGGGTAAAAGTGGCGAGATAAACACGGAATTAAACGCCATAATACTTGAAAATAATTTAGATGTATCTCCATACCGAGAAACGTTATTGAAAGGACTTCCAACTAGTGATTATACTTTAACAGAGGCTGACTTAAAAAATAGAGAGGATTGGAGGCACGAATGCATTTTTACGATAGATCCCGCGACAGCTGTTGATATAGATGACGCCCTTTCTTGTAAAGTCTTAGATAATGGAAACTACGAAGTAATTGCAATATATTAAACTTAACCCGTAGCTGATTTATAGCACGAGAGGTTGTTTAATAAATTTTTTTTTTTTTTATAATTTCAGATTGCTGTACATATATCAGACGTTACGCATTATTTGGAATTTTTCTCTCCGCTAGATACAGAAGTTTTGAAACGAGCTACTACTATTTATTTGCCACACATGACTTCTCATATGTTACCGGAGGAACTGTGTCAAGTTTGTTCTTTACTACCTGGTAAAGATAAATTAGCCTTTTCTGTGATATGGGAAATAACGCCAGACGGTGAAGTCTTGAAACATCGCTTCGCAAGGACTGTAATGAGATCGTGTTGTCAAATGTCCTACGAATCGGCTCAAGCCATGATCGACGATCCGGAAAAGTCTTGGCCCGACGATTTTCTCGACATAAAGGGAGATTACACGGCATCGTTATTATCCGATATAGTGAACAAATTATTTAAATTATCCACACAGTTGCAAAATAAACGATTTGTTAACGGTGCGCTCAGATTGGATAAACCAAAGGTGGAGATACGTATAGATCCCACGCTCAGTCAGGAACACGGGATTCCGATACCTGTAAACTATTATGTGCATGAAAAACACGATAGCAATAGGTGAGTTTTTCAGCTACTTATATCTCTATTGATTTATTGTATTATTTATGCATGAGGAAACTAACTGTTTTCAATTATTACGAATATATGTATTTTAGTCTTATAGAAGAATTTATGCTGTTGGCAAATATGACAGTCGCCGCACAATTGTACAATAAAATTCCCAAAACGGCTTTATTGCGTATTCATAAAGCTCCATCCAAGCACTGCCTCAAGACGGTTCATAATATATTGCAAAAGTACGGAATTCATTTGAATACTGAAACAGCTGGAGCCTTACAAGCCAGCATCCGTCGTTATGATTCAGAAAATAATTCTGTCGATTTTATGAAATACGTTATGATGACTATCGTAAATATGTGTTCAAAGTTTATGATGGTAAGAATTTTTATTTTTTTATATTACGTGATTTATTAATGTAAAGACAAATAGCGAAGGAAAATTTACAATTTGATAATTCTATAATACTGAAATTTTTATTTCTCAGCGTGCAGAATATATATGCGCATCTACCGTATCTTTGCCGAGTGATTTAAAACACTATGCATTAAATGTGCCTCTTTACACGCACTTTACCTCTCCCATTCGAAGGTATTCCGATTGCATAGTCCACCGTTTGCTCGGTGCGACACTCGAAAATAAACCTTTACCAGAAAAATGGACGGTCAAGTTGTGCTCCAAGTATGTTAATGATACGATACAAAAGCAGAACGACATAAAATTTGCTTCAACAAATAACTTTTACATTTGATTTGCGACAGAATTGCAGCCAATTGTAATTTGAAGAAATATAATGCGAAATTAGCTCAGGAACAGAGCACGGAGGTGTTCTTCGCGTATATGGTAGGCCTTGCAGGCGGATTTGAAGCGGCAGCTACTGTAATATACGTGAAGGAAGACGGTATAGAAGTTATGCTCTGTGATACTGGCATAAAATTAAGAGTAAATCTTAAAGACATAGAATCCGTTGCCACATTGAAGTATACCGCAGATTATGTACCAACTATAACTGTCAATTGGATGAAACCGCCTACTGTACAGGTAATATTCTCTATAATGTACTAACAAAAGTAGATTATCAAAATGATTATTAATAAACTGCAAATATCTATTTTAGATAATCAGTTTGTTTAGTTTGGTGCATATACAGGTAAAGAAAATTAATGACGAATTCCGCTTAAAAGCAACTCTTCTACCACCGCCGCAACAGTAGACAGAGATTTAGGACATTTTTAATTGATTTTATAATAATTGGCAATTTATATGATTTATCAGAATCCATTTTAATGTATGACAAATTGTAATATTTTAAGATTTTACGAATACTCATGTATATATATATATATACATGGAAAAATTGGAAATTTGGAGGATTACAAATATTAATTAGTGAAAATACAGAAGACACAGTTTAACGATCATAGCTACACTGAGAATGCAATAAAATCATTTTTAAATCATTTTAAAAATGATTAACCTGTATGATGGATAAATTATTATTATATATTTTTTTTATATTTGTTTATTATTATTATATAACTATTATTGTGAAAATTATACATAATCATTGTTATTAATAATAATGATTATATATATGTACATGATACAATTTTTTATTAATGTATTATTATATATATTTTATATAATATTATTATATATATATATATTTTATATAATATTATTATATTTTATATAATATTATTAAATCTATTAATGTTTTATTATTTAAAAACTTGGATGCAATGACAAAGGAGACTAAATCTATTATATACAATCCAATTTTAACAGTTATGAATTTAGAAGAGATACCACTTCAAATTGTACAATGCAATCCTCCAAAATATCTAATAAAAGTATCCAATAAAATCGAAGTATTTTTATATTGTTTTTACATATCTGACATCTGCTTGATATTGAAAGCATTTAACGTTTGCCGAGTGATTATTGAATGTAGTATATTTTTAATAAATAATGCGAATTTGTTGCAAAGACTGTGTGGAAATGATTTGTAAAAGGATGCAATTTATGTAATTTTTTAACACTAGCGCATAATATTATTTCATAAATAAATATTAAGATATGTATATATATATATATACACAATTTTTTTGGACAATATACCATTTTATTATAAAATATTAGTTTATTGTAAATGTTTTATATACATGTACATACCGTATCATTGGGTATCTACATGTGATTTATGCATAAATATTAGAAATAATCGATTTTCATGAACAAAAACAAAAGTATGATTAAGTATAACCCGTATGCGAAACTTTAATTAATTTGCAAACATTTGAGGCTATTGTAAAAATATTCGATTAATTTGATTACATTAAATCCAGCCGCCAGTCAAATGTATGCAGGTTTATACAAATTTTATTACATAGAGATCGAAATTATATCCTATATTATAGTAGATAACAATGACCACAATGTACTTTCATATTTCCTTTTTTTCCCCTCTTAATCTCTCTTTCTAAGATCTAAAAGAATTATCGAGAGATTTTATTCTGTACATTTATATCTGTAACATTTATCTTATACTTCTGTATGTCTATTGTACGACTTCCTAACGATTTCAACCGCTGTTAATGTTACCTTTGTTTTACGCAGTTTTATAATTGTCAAGTTATATTTACGTAATAACATAATAGTGACATTAAGAATACAGCTGCGTTAAGAAATTATAGAATAGACACAAGATGGACTACGTCAGAAATTCACAGTTACCTAGCAAAGAATAAAATTGTGTTTCTCAATATATTTACCATAATTCTATAACCGTAGTCATCCTTCGTTGCTGCAAATAATGCGATTGAAATCTCGTTCATTATTTGTCAAAATAATTGATATACATCATATTGATATTAAAACTATGAAGCATTGGAGTGAAAAGCGACACTGGATAACAGTCTTTGATTTATTCGGTATCGCTTTACATCAATAAATTATAATATTAAAAATAAAACCATGACTGTATATGTATGTATGTATGTGTGTGTATATATATATATGTGTGTATACATATATATATATATATATATATACATACATACACATGTATATATAATATAAATTATCAATCAGTAAGTAATTATTAAAGAATGTACACGAAGCTAATCCTAATCCGTTTTCCGCCCGTAACAATATTATGCCTACTGACACCGTTAGCTCGATCTCTGCGATTGATGCTGCTGGGTCTGCGATCTGTTACGATGCTCATAATTCACGAGCCTTTGCCCCACAAGATACTTGTCGTTCTTAATATGCTCGTACAGCTTCTTGAACTGGCGTATCTGAAAGCAAATCACCGCGCAGACCAGATTTACTAAAAGAAGAAAAGGATATAGACGTCTGGCGATAAGGATCTGGGTCTGCAGATTAGTCACGAGAAGTGGAACTATTCCGTAGGCCACGGCATAAGGAACCGCAAGGGCGAGGCCGAAGCAACATATAACGGGAGCCGCTAATTCCTTGATGACGAACTTTAAATCCATTTCCCTTATGCCTTCGTTGTACGCTCGCTCGATAGCGAGACGTATTCGCCAATCCGGTCCCATCATCGTTATGGCGGTAGCTATCTTAGTGTACAGTACGCCCAAGGCCCAATCTTGCCAGATAAATAAGATGGGATTTTGTTCTAACGGGACACGCAATGGGACCACTACTACTAATTCAAGAAGAAGACCGAACAGGAGCGGTATAACGCCGACGAGCAACACAAACGCCACCGAGGCTTTCACGGCCAAGATCGCCCAGTGTTTGATCCGGTCTATAATGGCTCTTCGGCCGCGAGGCAACCAGGAGAACGCCAATGCTAAACCTCGAGCTGCGGCCCAACATACATACGTCCCGCAGGCTATCGTATACACTTCGTGTACCCTTCCAGATAGAGACCCCACAGTTTCGCCACCGTCTAAAATAAGAGCAAAAAATCAATTATTTTGAGTATATTTTGTAAGATAATATTCTCTCTTAAAACGTTTACATGAAAATAAAAAAAAAAAAAGGGAAAATAAATATAATATTGGCCGACTTACCAGATCCGGTTAATGTAGGCGGCAACACAGGCGGCGACGGAGCGGGTGCCCCTACCATCCACAATGCCATCACTCTGCGTCCGAGCCATACGGGCAGCGTCATAGCGACTAGACTGGCGATCACGAGGGACACGCAAACGCAGAACAGAAGCCCGACCAATCTCGCGGGAAACCATCGCGGCCTGACATAAGGTTGAAATCCCGTAGGTCCCTCTCTGTGCAACAGCGCTTGATGCGCGGCGCCCAAGTCCGGATGTTGTGGTTCTTCAATTACCGCCGGTCCCGGCTCGTCCACCTGATCCCGCAGAAGATACGACTGCAAATCCAGCATCCACGCTACCACACGGCACCACGCTCTCACTAGGGCTCTCAGCCATGTGCGCGTGTGCGATTGCTCCAATAACGCGGGAAGGATCACTTGCAACAAAAGCAACTCCAACGAAAGCTCGCTGACCTAGAATTTAGAAAATACAATTTAATCGCTGCGAAGGAGTAAAATAAATGAACATTATTGCTGTTTTTTTTCCTTTACCTGAGCTTCGCTTTGTACGGTCACAGTGTAGGGTAAAAATCCTGGCCAGGCCCATCTTAGGATCTTCACGGGCAGCCACAACATCAGCAAAATTGCCGTGCCGAATATGATTGCGGATGCGACTAGTCGACGTACGTGTCGTAGTATGGGAAGATGTATCATTTCTTGTATAGGAGAGAAATCGGGATCGTTCAGATTTCGCAGAAACCAGAGAACTCCGGGCCGCAGAACCTCACGTAAGAGAAGTATAAACGACGCAAAATAATATATGTAAATCATCCCCACCAGCCAGTGGATGAACATGGATGTGCCGGGAGCGAGTCTGAACGAAGATTCTCTATCTCTGAGCGTAGCGTCGAACATCGCCAACGAGCAAATGTCCAACCACCAGCCGCAGACTAATGGAAGTACGCCGATCTCCACGACAGAGAGCAAGGACACCTTGACAATAACGTAGCAGAGTCCTAAGATTCGCTGGGAGCGCTGAAAGCCTAATAGTGCGGCGAGAGTGTGGAGGACCACCAGACAAACTCCGATCACGCAGTAACCGCACAGCGTGGTCACCAGGCCTTCGAAGTGCGACGCGGCCGCGTGTTCCTGCAGGCCCAATCCCGCTATCGTAAAATGACCGATGTGATACGGACAGAAAGCAAATACCTGAAAAGATTAAAAAAAAAAAAAGATTAAAAAAAGAAACTAGCTTTGCAAAATATCATTGTTTAAAAAAATTACACATTTATTTAATATATTTAATCACGCGTAATATAAGTTAAATGTGCGAAAAAGAACAATGTATTGTACGGAAGTTGATCGAAAACCGCAAGGCAAGGATTAAATAAATATATATTTAATCACATGTGATCTCACCATGATAAATAAAGTATTTAGGGACACAACCCAGAAGACATGTTCAAGAAAGACAAGAGATCCGTCCAATCCTAAGAGACGTTCCCAGGTTAATTCCTCAGCTGGCCTGTCCCACTCCATAGGATTCCAATTAGCCTCCTCAGCTTCACCCTGCGCCTGTCCTACCACGTGTGCCTGCACGCCTACCGCGTGTCCTCTCGGCCAACGCTCGCCACCCACGGCATTCGCCTGTCCACCGTCTACGCCGAGTTCGTCTCTGATTGGAAGGGGCGGTGCGGGAGGAGCAGGTGCCTGTATATCTCTCGCTAGATCCTCGGGTTCGCCAATTTGTGGATTATTGGCCAGGTTTTCTGCCACATATATGGGACGTTGTTCTACAATTTGGTTTAAATAAAAAGAACCATTAATTTATATTACAGATACAATTAAGTAATTTTATCGCTTTTCAAGATATAAAAATCTAGCTTATTTTGTCAGATTACCTTCGTTATGTAACTCTCCTTCTTGCGGAATAGGTGGATCAATGAAGGGAGGGACATTGTTGTTGTCCTGGACTTCTTGTGGCATAGCACGCTGTTCCTGAGGTTGTTGCGGTCGTTGTGCGTTTGCTTGTGGCGGATTGTCGACCGGGGGCAACTGTATATCTCTCTCGAGCCAGTCGGGACCACCCGCGTGCAAAATCTGCTCGCGTAGCCATACTAGACCGATGAACGCGAATAAGGTGCAAGTAACTACGAAACAGCCATGGAACACGTCCGATGATATATTTTCGGTGGAGAGCATATCCGTCGGTAGCGACATTATCTGCAAATACATAAAGTTAATGATAAATTTGTCGAGCTTTAAGTCGCAGATTCCTGTGTCAAAGCCAAGGATTTATTGTACGTATTTCTCTCACTTACCCGAACCAAATCGAGCGGTCCGCTGAAGAGAGTTCTATATGTGCGACACGCGGTTAAAGGGACTACTCCTAGCCACGCGATTGCCACCAGAGTGTAATGTAACCAGTACTTGACGGCGGTGACGATGCTCGAAAATAAGCCGCCTACTACGTCTCTCAGTGGTAGACGTCGCGGCATGTCCGGGCTGTATATAGGTGTGAATGAAAAGCGGTAGCCACAGAGCTCGCAATACTCCTTGCGCGAGTAGCGCATCCACTGGACCAGGCACTCCTGGTGTATCCATTTAATGCTGCCTGTACATATGCACGGATGAAACAGGGGTCTGTCGGCGAGGCCCTCGGATCGACAGACCCTGCAGATGTCCGCGCCCAACATGTCCTCCGTCATGTTTGGTATTTTAAAGAAAGCCACATATCACAAATCAGGGAAGTCAAAGGTGATCTTCTATCGCTGAAACCAGATGAAACAACCATGATTTCACAATTAGCAAACGTAATGTTTTTATAGAGATGTACGTTATCGACACAGATCGCTTGTTTGAGATCTTGAAAAGAAAAAAGGCATTTTCCTATTTCGTATCTCAACGAGAATTTAAAAACTTAGAAGGAATATTAATTAAACGTTTTGCAATCCCAACTGGATTCGACATGACGCCTTGCAACAGTCCACCACAGTTTTTAAACAAATCATGATTATAAACAGCAGAACTGTATTTTTGCGAGGTCTCTCCATAAATCCCTTCAAGCGATAAAAAATCCTGGATTCACGTCAGACCCGGTAGTTACATAAAACCCGAAGACGAGGCATCCGACCCTCTCTCATTTGCCAGAAATAAATTTTGGACCGATCAGGATCAACGAGAGCGGACAACGAAGTTCGTGAAAAAGGAGGGGAAAAAAAAACCCGCAACGTGGCCGGGGAAACAGAAATCTGCGTATTCGCCGATTTCGAGCCGCGATCTCTATACCCCGAGGATCGAGTAATTGCGCTATTAATTATGCAAATTTAACGCGAGGCAGGGAACAATCGTGCAATGACACGACACATCGCTCGACGTGACGCGACACGTCGTCGGGTTTTCGCGCCTCCTCTTCGTCCGAGGAAACGGCGTACTGGCGATCGCCGGTGGTCGTGGGCGCGCGGACACGCGGAGCGGCGCGTCCCGCGGATCGTCGACGGCGAAGTCGCGAGCACGAAGTGTCCGTCGTTGATAAAAACAGCGGAGCCGACGCGCGTATGCACGCGCGGGTATACGTGCGCGTTACGATTCCTCGCGTAATCTCTCCGATCTCCCGTCGGCGATGACGTAACGTGGCGCAACGTTAACGCGGACACTCGGCACGCGATACCCACGTGTGCGTGCCCTGAGGAAAATCCACATCGGATTGAAAATTGTCGTGCAAAATATTCGAGGGACGATCTCCGCGGCCCCGAAGCTCCTTCCAGCTCCTTCTGCGTTCTGGTTCTGCCCCTGGGTGACACCAGTTTGGTGAAATTTCCCACTCCCGGAACCTACGAAACGCAAAATCACTGTTCGTGTAATAAGTTATCGCGCATGTCACTGCGCAATTGTTGTCCACCGCGAGCGCGCAAGACGTCGACCGCACATGTGCGAGGTTCGATAAACAAAATTTCGAAGCGAATCGGTCGCGCCGTTGATAGTTAAGGATATCGCGATAGATAGAACACAAGTACTTGAAGTACTCATTCCGATAACGTGACTCGGATAGATAAATTGCATGTGTTGACACGTCGTTCAATGTTGCGTATATTCAGAAAAGAATTGCTTCGAGTGAGGAACCTAACCTTCGTAGACAGAAAATTGTCAACAATACCGAGCGTCATGTTATGGCCCTCTCTAAATTATACAATATCGCATTGGATTGTACGATATATTACGGTCTGAGGGGCATCAACAATTTGTCCAGCAAGAAGTCTGCGAATTCTTTCTACCCGTTAAGGCGATATTGTTCACAGCGCGTTATGAAGGTCCTCAATGTTGCCGAGAAGCCGAACGCGGCTAAAACTATCGCTGGCTATTTGTCGCACGGTACCAGCAGAAAGGTAAACGATTACACTGTGCATGAAGCGTTCTCTCGTCAGTAATGTTTGACCATCGTCCACACACTTCTCATTGTTCAATCATATCTGTTCGCAAACCAAAGGTGCTATAGAAATGTGCTTCTCAACGCTTCTGTTTCTTGCAGAGGGAAGGTTTTTCCGTGTATAACAAGATCTTCGAATTTAATGTACAACTATGGGGTCAAAACTGCCAAATGATGATGACGTCCGTGACCGGCCACTTATTAGGCTACGAATTCACCGGAGCCTATAGCAAGTGGCACAGCTGTCATCCGTTAAGCTTGTTTGATGCCCCGGTATCTAAGCAGTGCTTAGATGACAATTACGTAAAGATTAAGAGGACCTTAGAGCGAGAAATACGATTCTGTGACACATTGATTATTTGGACAGATTGTGACAGAGAGGGGGAGAACATAGGCTTTGAGATTATTCAAGTCTGCCAAGCAGTCAAGCGTAATATCCGTGTACATAGGTAATTGAAAACCTGTTTCTATGTTCTTTTCATTTGACAAGATTTTTAATGTTTTCTTAAATGTTTCAGAGCAAAATTCTCAGAAATTACGAAACAGTCCGTCGAAAGAGCCCTGCAAACTTTGGGAGAACCAGATAAAGCAATGAGCGATGCCGTAGATGTAAGAAGCGAATTAGATTTACGAATTGGTACTGATTCTATTAAACATCTTATTATGAATCGTAATCTACCTGTAAATATAAATCCCATGTGAATGAATCTTTAATTAACATGTTGACAGGTGCTGCGTTCACGAGATTTCAGACCTTAAGGTTGCAAAAAGTATTCCCCAATACTCTTGGAGATATGCTCATCAGTTACGGAAGCTGCCAGTTTCCAACACTTGGGTTTGTAGTCGAGAGGTTTCTAGCCATCAGTCGGTTCAAATCCGAGCCATACTGGAAGCTAAGAGTGCTCGACGAACGCGAAGATATGTCTGTAGAATTCAGATGGGCCAGGGTAAGATTGTTCGAGAAAATACCTTGCCAGATCTTTCTGGACATGTGCCTGGAACAGCCGGAAGCTACGGTAGAGAAGGTAACGTGCAAACCGAAGAGCAAATGGAGACCGCTACCCCTGGATACTATTGTAAGTAACTGAGTTATTGTTAGAAGATATTGCGAGATATTCAGCATTCTATTTCATCGAGAATCATCGATTTAGGAATTAGAGAAACAAGGCTCTCGTAAGTTGCGCATAAACGCGAAGGAGACGATGAGAATCGCGGAGAGATTGTACACCCAAGGTCTCATCAGTTACCCACGGACGGAAACAAATATATTCCCGAAGGAATTGAATCTGGCACCTTTGCTAGAGCAACAGGTAAACCATCGGGAATGGGGTGACTTTGCGCGAAATTTACTGGACTCCGGAATAACTCCCAGGCAAGGAAAGAAAAGCGATGAAGCGCATCCTCCTATTCATCCTACAAAATATGCCGACAATTTGCAAGGTCCGTTCCTACAGTCTGTTCTTATTCATCGTTAAATTGACCGCATTAATTCAGTCGCGACTTGTCAATAGGAAACGAAGCGAAGGTCTACGAATTTGTGGTTCGACATTTTCTGGCTTGTCTGTCGAAGAACGCGGAGGGCCGGGAAACAACGGTGGAAATCAATATAGCGGAAGAAAGATTCACGGCTAATGGTCTCGAAATCATAGCGAAGAATTATCTTGACGTGTATGTATACGAAAAATGGAACAGCAAACAAATTCACCCTTATGAACAGAGACAAGTTTTCCGACCGACCACCATCGATATGGTGGAAGAGAAGACTTCGGCGCCGAATTTGTTAACCGAGGCCGAGTTGATCGCACTGATGGACAAGCACGGTATCGGTACGGACGCTACTCACGCTGAACATATCGACACCATCAAATCCAGGCAATATGTGGGTTTAACGGACACTCAACATTTCATGCCGGGCAAATTGGGGATTGGTCTGGTCATGGGTTACGACAATATGGGTTTCCAAATGTCCAAGCCGCATTTGCGCGCGGAGTTAGAAAAAGATTTACAGCTGTAAGCAACTCAATGTATCATTAAACAATCTCTTATTCTATACGCTGCAAAGTGATATTTATAAATCTGCTTTTTTATCATATGGTTTTGTTATCATAGGATATGCCAGCGTCAAAAAGACCCGAATGAAGTGTTACAAAATCAAGTTAATAAATATCGCGAAGTATTCAAAGTGGCGATAGAACGCGCTAAACTGATAGACGACTCTTTAGCACACTATCTCGACGAGAGACCTATCCAAGCTGAGCAAGCACTGGTTGCTCAAGAGAGTGACGTCGCTGTATTCAAGTGTCCAAAATGCGGCTCTAACATGGTTCTAAGAGAGAGACGACAAGGCAGAGGAAAATATATCAGTTGCATGGGAACGTGCACCAACGTGATCTGGTTCCCAGAAACTGTAGAAGATGTGGAGGTTTTGAACGAAATATGCAATCAGGTAAATATAACATCTTCGCAGTGTTTTACATAAATAGGGGGATTTTCCTTGGTGATTAAGTTGGTTATTATGCACAAATTATATTTTCAGTGTACAGAAAATATACGCAAATTAAAATTCAAATTAGTCAGGACTATGGTACCCTTGTACGGTACCGCTTACACAACTTGTATAGGCTGTGATACCGAATTCAGAGAAATGTCGGACATCAGGGAGGATTGCATTAAACAAACTGGAGAGAGAAGAGCGAATTATACTGGTCACAGTAATACGAGGGATACAGGATACAGCTCCATTTCTACCTCAAGTACAGCCCAATCGCGAAGTATTCAACAACAGTCCGTTTCTAGTAGTAGAGGAAGTACTGTTCGAAGTAACAACAATGTTGGCTTGATCGGAATTTCTGGCACATCTGAAAGCCGTACACAAAACCAACATTCTAATGTTTCTCAGCTGAATAGATCAAATAGGCCGAATACCGATAGAAGTACAACGTCGAACAATAGAGAAAACCATAATTCTTGGGGAATTAATTCGGGTGATTTCAATAGTTCGTTGAACAGATCAAATCCATATGCGGCCAGAAATACTCCCAACACGAATCGTATAACCAATACGTGGGGTAACATTGACAATAGTTCTGAGATTATGTGTCAATGTCACGAGCTTGCGATCCAGTTAACAGTTAGAAAAGAGGGACCAAATAAAGGTACGTTCAAAAATATAAATCTTTGTGATTTGTCGCATAAGTCACTTTGGATAACATTTGTAATTCCAGGACGTTTATTTTACAAATGCGCTAAACCGCAAGGTAGAGGTTGCAATTTTTTCTTGTGGGCAACCCCGAACCCCGAACCTGAAGATAACGCAGCGAACGAACATTCAAGTTGGGTATCTAATCTGAACAGAAACAATGATGGTGCTGGCAACGTCTCTCGCGTTGGCACTTCTAATAACGATTGGGGAAGCTCATCCACGAACGATGTTATATGCCAGTGTGATCAGCCCGCTCGAAAGTGAGTAAATTCTTCGATCGGAGAGAACGATAAACTTTCTCGGCTAAATTCAATGTCAATAATGAATGAGTCGAAGTCTTAGTTAAATATCGCCGGTTAACAGCTATGTCTGTAATGTATGTAAAAATATTTTCTTTCGTGTTTCTTTAGGCTGACGGTTCATAAGGACGGCCCCAATAAAGGACGGCAGTTTTACGGATGTCCCAAAGGTATGAACTCCACCTGTAAGTTCTTCAAGTGGGCAGACGAGGATGACGCCGGTAGTCACGAGAACACGGACTGGAGCAATTCCACTGCGAGAGGAAGAGGGAATACAGCACGAAGCAGAATGCCTCAAAAAGGCGGTGCCCCCAAAAGGCCTAGACTTACCGGGGGCAAGAGAAAGTGCGGAAATTGCGGAATGGAAGGTAAAGACTTCTCTTTTTTTTTTGTTATATTCTCTCTTCCTCTATCTCTATTATTTTCTTTCACTAAAAAAAATAGTAACATTTTTATTGTTCTCAGTTATATCTATTATCTATCACATTGTACATATCATACATTTTTTTTACATTTTCCACTGTTTTTTCACAGGTCATACGAGGAACAAATGTCCATCAAGTGGGAACTGACAAGCGAATTTTTACAGTATTGTAAATAATGTACAGTTTGTAACGATTAAAGTTGTAAAAAGCTTAAGTAGAACTGAATAGTGTCAAATATGACTTTTATCTGTAAAATTCAACTTCTGCCTCATTGAAGTGAAAACTTTCATAAGTTTTAAGATGGTTAAAGGTGGTTCGATAAAGTTTTATAGTTACTGTGTATGTCCTCGACGCAATTAACAATGTTTAATATATTAAACGACAACTCGTTTGTTGTGAGAAAAATTATTTTTCAGTTTCTCTAATTCTTCTTTCTGCAAGTGAACCTCGGCGGTTGTTTGCGTTAACTATAAAACAGTAAACAAATTAATATAACACATGATACTTATCATTACGTGTCTCTATTATTGTTCTGCTATAATTATTGATAAACTTACTACTTTTGAAAGATGCAACATAAAAGAAAATTACCATGTCTAAAAGTACGTCAAACTTTAGCTTTAACAGGTTGTTCTCTTCCTCCAGCCGTCTCACTTCCTTTTTTAACTTCTCGTTCTCTTTGAAAGTACCTCCCGCCTTACCAGATTCTAGAACAAAATTGTCCTCTTTTATATATTTGGGAAAGAGAGTGTAAAGGTCTCTGCACGGTAAATTGAACGTTATTCTACCTGGAATCCACAGGCCAGCCTCAAAGACAGCTTCCTGATCTCCAAGGTGAAGACGTATAGGTCCTACTTCAGGCCCAAGCTCCTTCTCTATTCGTTTAGGGCTTAAATTTTTATTTGCAAGGAAAACTGATGCCTTCCTAGTCGGCGTCTTCTTGGGGGAAAACTTGTTGAAGAACAAAGGCATCGCGTCACGCTCTCGTATAAATCAAATGACACCAAGTGGCTTTTAAGCCTGACATTGACAAACAGGAAGTTTACTGAGAAAGGATAATTAAAACTTTGAACACAGTTAATCACTGTCTTATATTTCACGACATCTTAAACTGATATTCTTTTTTATATCAATCTTAACCTAATTAAGGTTTTTTCTTAGCTGAATCAAACTGAATGAAACGGAAAACTCGTGTTTGTCCTGCTGTTACCCAGGCAACCTTTTTGAACTTAATTGGAGCAGAGGAGGGGACGATCTTCTATGTTTGATTCTAAAATTGTTCTAAAATTCGATTAAATTTATGTCAATATTTCTTTAAAAAAAAAAAAAAAAACATGAATAAATATATAAATTAAAACATGCATTTTATAAGAGCGTTTCTCCAGCTGTTAATAACAGTGATGCCGTTCTGACGAATAGCAGAATAAGTACGTGTGGGAATACACATACAAAGAGATGGTATGTATGTATACATATAAGCAGCATATTATAAAAACGAATATTTTGATAAATGTAAATAAGTGAATCGTAGCTGTATCAAAATATACCCGATGTTATACCCGAAAAGCATGATGTACTCATTGTTTATTAAAAATGTAATTTTACATATTTTTGCGATATTATATAATAAGCTCAATTATTGTGCCTCTCATCCTCTCTGATTATATTAAAAGTCTATAGTTTACGACGTTTACGTCACGTGCCTCTACTTCTAGGGACAATAATTCTGGCATTACCATAGAGATATAAGAATAGAGTGCGCGAGCGAGCTGAAAAAGCGATATAGGAATAGAAAGAGAAAGCTGCGCAGAATAGAAAGAGAAAGCTGCGCATGAGCCCCTTCTGTCTTTGTTTCGCATGCACGCGTAGACAAAGACAGAAAGGGCCTATATGCAGCGTTCTTTTTCTATTCCTATATCGCAGCCTCTTACGTGCTAGCATATGACTCGCGCACTCTATTCTTATATCTCTATGGGCATTACCGGCTGGCAGCTACTGACAGCTGACAGCCCTTTGTAGTACTTGGCGTTCTCGCTGCGCGAGGTCTCTCGGATCGTCTTGGTCGACCTTGGTTCGCCTGTCATTACTAGTCATTACACTCATTACTGTCGTGTGTCGGTTCATCTCGATCGGATGGGATAATCTCGCATAAACGTGTTAGGTAAAGTGCGAGATACGAAACGTGCTGTCATGTCGCATTTTTGCGACGCGATGAGTAACGGGAAGTTGTATAACATCTCATCGCGGTAGGGATACTCGCGTTTTTCGTTCCCGTTCACTCACCCGGTTGTCAGCTGCGACGATAACACCATGGCTTGGCTCGGCACGATCGCGAACAACGTGCTGCGGAACATCGTCTTCACGGACACGCCGCCGAACGTGGTTCTGGAGGTCCGGCCGGACCAGTACAGCAATCGGCACATACACTCCCGCGAGGACGGCATTGTTCTCTACGGGCCCGGCGGTAAGAAAAATCAGGAAAAATACGAGATCGTCCTGCACAGGCCGTGCACGGAGACCCTGCATGAAGCGTACAGGTACGTCTTGTTATTTTGGCGCAAAAAAAAAAACAATATTATGATTATAAATATTATTTATTTTACAAGTTATTTGTAATGTATAATAATTAATTGTAATCGTTTTCTTGAAAGCAGCTGTTGGATTCTTGCAACTTTATATTTAACTTTCTATTGTCCATATATCTTTTGTGTTCTATTTCCTATCTTACTTTATTGATCTTTCGAGACTTGGATGTTTGCTTGACTTTTAAATGTTTCATTTCAGTCTGTTTCGATCTGAAACTCTACAAGGTGCGGAGGAACGATTTTCAATATATAAAGACAAAGTCCCTGTGCTTGTGCAGATAGTGCGTGAGGTAACGTTTATTATTTATACTTATTTTATTAATTATACTTATTTTACATCTTATATACATATATGTTTAGATAAAGTGTAGTAATTAAGTATACTTTAAAGAAATTCCGTTCTCATATTACACATCTCTTTATATCTTTTATGCATAATTTAAAAAAGATTTTGAGACAATCATCATTATTTTATAATTTATATATAATTTGCATTAATTTTTATAATGGATAATATTTATAATTGATCTTATCTTCTTTTCCTTCAAGATGTGCAGTGTTGGAAAAATTCAAAAACTCTGCGACACTCTCACACAACACCCAACGTGGACTTTAGCACATCTAGCCGCGTACTTTGCCCTCCACGACGCGTTCACGCATGTGATCGTCAACAGCCAACTCAACAGTGGCGATTCGGAGACCGGTATCTCGCCCCTGCAAGTCGCCATACAAACACACAACCTGCGCACCGTCGAGATGCTGATAGCGGCGAAGAGTTCGCTGGAGCATCTGGATTACAATGCGAATACCGTTTATCATTACGCGGCTACGTCTACTAAGGAGATCATTCTTGCTCTGGGTCCTGGTCTTCCAAACAGTTTAAATAGTCGTAACAGCAACGGTCACACCCCTTTACATGTCGCATGCCTGAACGACAAGCCTGACTGCGTGAGAGCGCTCCTGTTAATCGGCGCCGACGTAAACATACCCGCTTCCGAGGGTCAGCCCTCCAGTCCCGGCTACGTCGGCGATTACCTGCAGCAGAACAAACCGAACGTGCTTCACCCGGAGGATATGAAGTTCGGTGGCACGCCGTTGCATTGGTCGCGTAGTCGCGAGGTGATCACGGCGCTGATTGACACCAACTGCGATATCGACGCGCCCAACTTCAACGGGCGTACCGCGCTACACGTGATGGTGATGCGCAAACGGCTGCCTTGCGTGGTCGCTCTGCTGAGCCACATGGCATCCGTCAACATCGTCGACAACGACGGCAACACACCGCTGCACCTTGCGGTTGAGGCAGAGACACCGGCCATCGTGCAGGCGCTCATCGGTTTCGGCTCCGACATTGACGCGCAGAACTGGAAGGCGGAAACACCTAGACACAAAGCGAACGTGGACACCACCGATGGCAACAAGATAATCTACATGTTGCATGCGGTGGGCGCGCAGAGGTGCCCGCCAGAAATGGCGGGTTGTCATCTCGGCTGCAAGCACGGCGAGAACTATACTGGTATTGCGCCAGAGGAACCACCACATTATATACCGCGCACGATTCTCGATCAAATGCTTCACGTTTCCGGCATGGAGAAGATGGCCGAGCACGGAAACCGTAAGCGAATCAAGGGCGGTAGGCTACTTTGTCTCGATGGCGGCGGTATTCGGGGACTAGTGCTTATACAGACGCTACTGGAGATCGAATCGGTGCTGCGCAAACCCGTGATGCACTGCTTCGACTGGATCGCCGGCACGTCCACCGGCGGTATCCTGGGACTCGGCCTCGCCGCTGGTAAGTCTCTACGGGAATGTCAGGCACTCTACTTTCGTATTAAGGAGAACGCCTTCGTGGGTTCGCGGCCTTACAACAGCGAAGGTCTGGAGAAGGAGTTGAAGGAATGCCTCGGCGCTGATACCGTCATGGCCGACATCCAAATACCAAAGATAATGATCACGGGCGTGCTCGCCGATCGTAAGCCCGTGGATCTTCATCTATTCCGCAACTACGAGGCGCCCAGCGCGATCCTGAAGTTGCCGGAGAGCTCGATGTTCAAACCGACATTGTCGTCGCGGGAGCAGTTGCTTTGGAAAGCGGCGAGAGCGACCGGTGCGGCGCCGTCGTACTTCCGAGCGTTCGGCCGTTTTCTGGATGGCGGTCTGATCGCTAATAATCCCACCCTGGACGCCATGACGGAGATCCATGAATACAATCTGGCTCTAAAGGCTACTAATCGCGAGAAGGAGGTGATACCACTGTCGCTGGTGGTCTCCCTCGGCACAGGAACCATACCGACCACGTATGCCCTGAATGAGATCGACGTTTTCCGACCGGACAGTCTCTGGGACACCGCCAAACTCGCGTTCGGTATCTCGGCGCTTGGCACGCTGCTGGTCGATCAGGCAACAGCCAGCGACGGCCGTGTAGTCGATCGCGCTCGCACCTGGTGCTCCATGATCGGTGTACCGTACTATAGATTCAGTCCGCATCTATCGACGGAAGTCGCCATGGACGAGAAGAGCGATGAGATATTGGTGAACATGATCTGGACAGCGAAGGCGTTCATGCACGCGAATCGAGATGTGGTGCAGGAACTGGCAACCATAATCGGGCGCGACTCCAGTTTGGAGGACTAAGAAGAAGGACTTTAAGGGGACGTCGTCGAAAAGAAAAGTACCTGGTTGCAGAATCACGTCGCACGCACATACACATTCACGCTTGGTATAATTATATCGACGATTTACCGCTGGCTCGGTTAACGATTATGTAATTAGCCTAGCAATTATCTCGTTACGTAGCGTGTATTATAGTTACTTCTTCACCGCTACTTGCCGCCGATGTCTCGACAAATGTGATATTAGATTGCCTTTTTTCCTCCGCTCACGTTATAGACAGCGTGATTTGCGAGATGTTCACATGTGCTCGTACATATCTTTTTTTTTTCTCTCATAATTCTAACTCAGTGGAGATTACATTTTTCTCCTAGTCACTGGAAATCTCGTGGAATGGTACACATAAGTTAGTATACATATTTTTTATATAATTTATAAATCTGTAAGTTCAGTGTTTAAAATGGTTTATATCGTTCCTATTTTTCTGCAAATAGTCTCGAAGAATATGAATGTCGCATATTGAGTCGTAACTCAAGAATACTTAGGTAATAGATCTGATTTATTTGTATTGTAAACAAATTTAATGACAGTTAAAAGGTTACCTGTTCTCAAACCTATTGTGTGTTGACTCGTAATATATATTCAAACATAGGTAAATAGCTAAATGGCACGCGCGTAGCGCGCGCCTGTAATGTCTAATAAATTAAAAAAAAAAAGGTTACAAAGCAATCGAATAATATGTCTCGCTTTGTAGAATAAAGTTAAGTAACTGAATTTAATGTCATTAAGTACAACACCGCTATTGTTTTAAGTACTTTACAGAGTTTTATTAAACGCCCGATATATATTCGATTGAATTAAATCTCGATGGGTCGTTAATAGCGTACTATCGTCTACGCTCCAAGTTTATCAAGCACACACATACATACACATACACGCACACGCCGCTGCGTTACATCAAGACTCAAACACGACTCGCAATCAGAGGGAGAGGATAACGCAGTCTTGGTTTCATTCATCAGAAATATTGTCTCGACTAATTTATCCATAGTAAATAGTTTCCTATCCGACGGGCAATAGTTTACGATTGTATTTTACTCGATTTTATGCCGCGCAGTCTCATTCGGCCTTGTGAAAATCTCCAAGAATTGTTTCGTATCGCCTCCCATCTTCAGCTCGCGGTCTATCGAGGTCCCATGTAGTACGGCGGTTGCGCCATGGGCGCCGATATGTAGGGGTAAAAGGAGGGATGCGACGACACAGTCTGCGGCTGGTAATCATTCTCTTCACCGTGCACAGCGTATCCCTCTGCGGTAGGGTAGTATTGTCCATGTACACAAGCGTAGGGCGCTTTAGCGGCAGCGGCCGCGCCGCTGCTCATTTCCGCGGAGTACTTGAGACCGTCCGGATACCCTTTGGCGTCCGGGTATTTGGGCAGATCGTAGGGCTTGGTCTGTAGATCCGGATACTTGGTCGCCGTCGACTCGTGGTGGTGATGATACTTGGTACCGGTCATCTCGTGGTGGTACTTGGTGCCGGCCATCTCATGGTGGTACTTGGCGACCTCGTGGCACTTCGCCTCGGCGTAGCTTCTGGCCGTCGTTTCGTACGTCGGCTTGGTAGGATGATCGACGGCGGAATACTTCGCGACCGTCTCGTTGACCCAGACCGGTCGGGCCAGGTCGTAGGCGCTGGACTTCGGTTCGTGGTAGGTCGTCGGTCGTTCGTACGCCTTCACGCCGGTGTCCGGATACAAGCGGGCGTAGGTGCAGTCCGAGGAGCCGGCCGAGGAGTCGAGGGAGGTCCCCGGCGACGGAAGCCCGCCTCTGTGCACGATGATGCCCATCTGATCGTCCGACTTCGGCTTCCTGCGACGAGGTTGATACTACGAACAGTATCACATCGTGTTTAAATTAGTCTCAAGACGCTCTATTGGAACCATATTACATTACGAGAAATACAAAATCTTTTAAATTTTTTTTTTTTGCGCTATACGATGAAATTTTTTTTGTCTGATGTAATCCGATATGATTGCGATATGAGTTTAACTCTGAGTTTAACTTTGAAAAGAATATATGGATGTGTGTCTTTTTACTTAATCCCCAATGAATTATAACGTTGTAATTTCGTGCTTGCATACAAAATAAATAGACACAAAAATTACATATAAGAAATTTATTTCAGAAAATTTTATAAGTTGTTTTATGTCTGTTTAATGTTTTGTTCTACATGTCTGTCTATTTTTTCTTTTACTCTGTTCATTTTGCGTTATAATGCCAGATTTTTAATTTCAGATAGATATTATTTCAACAATCTTGCCCTTTGCGCGTACATGTTTATCTTTCATGTACATTATATTTATATAGCTTGTTATTAACAAACTTTGTGCATGATAAAAATATTATTATTTCTATGAAGATAAACTTAAGAAATCTACGAAATCGGGCTTTTAAAACGCGATCGTACAATCGGATTAAATTAGTGACTACATTAAACAGATGATTGTTCTTTCTTTTTCCAACAAAGCTGAACCCGGTAAAAGCTCCGTCGCGTCTCGTCCTCGCCGTTCCACTTTCTCGCCTCGCAGTGGAGCGGCGACACGGATGGCTTCATCGCAGTGAATTCATTTCCCCTTCTCGTAAATCATCGCCGACGCGGTGGGATTCCAATCGCTCGGGCGATCGGGCCTCGATTAACCACTCGAGCGCTCCAAGACGAATGCGCGCTGCACGCGTTAATTCGTTCCGCCATCCCGCGCGAATCGGGCCGCTCGATCGCGAATCCGCGCAATTTCGTAACGCGCGAGATACATTCCCCCGTATTAGCCCTAATGATATGCGCGATTCCGCCGTGGCCGCGTGTCATCCGTCAGTTAATTCGGCGGTCGATTACCTTGTAGTGCGGATGCTGCTTCTTGTGTGCGTTCCTCAGTCTCTCGGCTTCCTCGATGAACGGCTGCTTCTCGCCGTCGCTCAGAATCCTGCAGCAGACACATCTCGCAATCTCTAGTATCGCCACTGAACGCGATG